AGTTTGAACCATCAGTAGGGTTGTGGTAGACCCTGGTATCCAGTAAGGGTCCTGGCTAGACGCCTCCATGCTAAAAACCAAGCCCTGGAATGGCGCAGCTACGTCTGCAGCCTGTCTGCAGCTCAGACACGAGCATTTCACTACATGTTGTACTCTGTATGATTGTGTATGTGACAAATAAAGGTTGGTTAGTTGTTTGCTTCTGTGCTTCATCTTGAGAGCACAGGATATATGCTCTCACTGAGATCATACAGAGCCAATAGGAGAAAGAAAGAAATGTTGGAAAGTGTATTTAGAGCAGTGTAAAACCCAAGCTTTTGGCTCACATAGATTACTTTTGACATATGTTGAAAATTAGTCTGTGTTTAATATGAGCATCCACCATTGACAGTATACACTCACCGGGCAGGTATACTTGTAGTGTTGGGTACATCTTGCCAGTACTAGGTTTGACACACGTTTGCTTTCAGAACTGCTTTAATTCTTTGTGGTATAGATTCAACAAGGGTCTGGAAACATTCTCAGACATTTTGGTTCATATTGACATGACAGCATCTGCTGGCTGCACGTCCATCTTCAGTTCCACCACATCTCAAAGTTCTGTTGGACTGAGATTTGATGAGGCCACCTGAGTGCAATAAACTCACTGTCATATTCAAAAAACAGTTTGAGATTATTTCAGCGTCAGCGTGTTATCCTTCTGGAAGCAGCCATCAGAAGATGGGCACACACGCTCAACAACAAAACTCAGTAAGCCTGTGGTGTTTAATCGATGCTCATTCATGCCTACCATCTGTATGTCCCAGCAGAAATTGAGACTCATCACACCAGGAAACAATTTTCCAGTCTCCTGTTGTCTAATTTTGGTGAGCTTGTGGCAATTATTGCCTCCGTTTTCTGTTCTTAGCTGGCAGCAGTGGCACCCAGTGTGGCCTTTTGTTGCTTCAAGGTTCGCTGTTTTGTTTCTTCAGAGCTGCTCCTCTGCAAACATCATAATGAATGGTTATTTTATTCGTCATTGCCTATCAGCAAACAGCAACACAGTCCTTCTCCCCTGAACCCTACAAGGCATTTTCACCCAGAGAACTGCCCACTCAATTTTTTCCCATTTTTCGGACCATTCACTGTAAACTCTAGAGGTGGTTGTGTTCCCAGCAGATCAGCAATTTCTGAAATGCTCAGACCAGTCTGTCTGGTGTCAATAACCATGCCATGTTCAGAGTCACTGAAATCTCCTTTCTTCCCCATTCTGATTCTGACTTGACTGACCCAAATGCAATGAGTTGCTGCTATGTGATTTTCTGGTGACATCTGTGTGTTAACGAGGAGCTGAACAAAAAGACAGAACAAAGTAATTGGTGTAATTTGTTAAAGTAACAAATCACATCAGCAGACTCAGTAACAAAACCATGATGTTAAGATTATGAAAATTTATTCCAACTAAGTTTAATTAAATGTTGTTTTAAAAAAAAAAAGTTTTTTCATGTCTGTCAGTGTACAACATCACATAGTTTCTCTGTGTTTATACACCACTCTGCATTTAATCTTTGGTTCTTATTCATCTCTGGGTCTCTTGCACAGTGTGTCTTTTGTCCTCTATACTCTATATCTTAAATTGGTTGCAGCAAATGGCCTGGTTATGCTGAAGGTTTCTTGATGTTAATGAGAGTTTTTCCTTCCCACTGTTGCCAACTGGATGCTCATAGGGGGTATTCTCTATATTATTGTAGGGTCTTTAACTTACAGTATAAAGCACCTTGAAGCAATTGTTGTGATTTGGTGCTATATAAACAATCTTCAATTTCTATTTACTTGTCCCATAAGATTAAGAAAAAAATAGCTTAAAAATTATTTCCAAACAACCTTTTGTTCCCTGAACAAATTTTCTGTTTTTTCTGAAGATCGTCCCAAACTGGACCACCTTCAGCTTCCCCCTGCCTCCTGCTCCTGGATCAAAAGTGTCCTCACTATCCGGCCCCAATCACTCAAACTCAGCCTCTGCAAAAAAGATTTAAAGTACCTTCGCAAAACTACAGTATTAACAATTTGTAGATCATGTCAGAAGTTTTTATTAGTTACAATGAGCAGAGTATCACTGTGCATACTCTGTGTTGTCACAGTTGGTCTTCAAATCACTGTCTCACTGTCCACTTGGTGTCATGTTTGCTAATCTAACAAGAAGGTGAATGACACTCATCCTTAACAACTACAATATAACGGGCCTAGAACAACTTAATATGACACAGCATGCTAAATATGTTAACTAACATCCACATGCTTTGCTAGTGGAAGCTCAGAGTATTCCAGCCATGGTACACTCATTAATTGCTCTTTGTTTTTGCTCTGCAGTTCTTCTTAATCATTTTTCGGATATGTTATAGTTGCATATATTATACTATGATCAGCTTGAAGGCTCACATTAATGCATTCCTACTAGTCCAACTGGATTAAGATGATGACGTCAGATGTATGCTTACACTTACAACAATTAAAATGAGAATGGTGAAATTATCCTTTTAAGTGCTGTTTACCCGATCTGCGCAATAGTTCGTTGATTAAAAATTAAATTAAAAAGCATTTAAGCCAGCAGAAGTTAATAATATAATCATATTAAGCTTTATTAACTTCATCTGTTTAATTATTTTGAGCGTTTATTTGCAGTGTTTCATTCCAAGCGGATATTTATGTTTAGATAACGCTTTCTTCTTTGTGAGGCAAATAAGAATTTCACGTAATAATCGGTTTCTCTATCTAAAACACCTGACCACACCCTAAGTAGGACCCAGCTTCCTGTGCAAGTCCCTGAACGCCCCATTATTCTACATCGATTCAACAGGCAGCAGAGTCTCAGGATTCGCCTCAAAACTACACCTGCGAGCCCAGCAGCAGTTTGAATGTTGGCGTATTGATACAGCCTCATGTGTGAGAGGGAAGGTGAAAGGTGTTTGGCTGCTTATCCTCTTAGTAGCATTATGCTGAGCCTCGTACAAGCCCTGCCATGCGGTGCGCCCTTGTAGTTCCCCAAAAACCGGAGTCAGCATCTCTGCGTCCGTTGCGCACAGCTGGAGGAGCAGTCCGCAGCGGCGCGGGGCCGAGCAGCCGGCCGCACAGGTAAGATCCGCGTCCTTGCTCTCTTCACACCGCTGCTTTCTGCGATTTATGCTCTTTTTGCTGATAGAGTGTAGATTAATGATGTACACCGACCTTGCATTATAATCCGGGCTGTCCTCAATTAAACCCCAACGCGCGTCTTTCACTCGCAGATTTCATGTTTTGTTTTTTGTTTTGTTTTTTTAAAAAACATGTTGACGTTAATGCACATCTGGCAGTATAAATTATTAGTATTATTTCATTTACAGCACGCGCGGATTTCATCACGCTAATTTCTGTGCGCTCTTTAAGCCACAATCAGCAGGAATCTCAGTATTTACTGATTTTATTTAGACGGATCTCCTGTTTTTTCTCGCCGCTTTAACATGTTTGACGTGTTTTCAATAGACTCCTATTATGTGAGAAGCTAAAGCCTGAGTGATTATGTAGCCATAGTAACAGGTGGCTGTCTGCATCCTCTATCACCCTCAAATACACACATAGATACGCGCGCGCGCGCGCGCGCACACACACAAACACACTTTTCCTTAGTATATCTGCAAGTATGCAAGCAGAGGGGACATTATAAATACACACGTGTTCATGATGTGATTTTAAGCTGTAGGTATTTTCTGGTTTTCAGTCCTTCCACAGGTCAAAGCTGAAGATGAAACACACTTTGTGCGTACATGTGCTTTTTTGTCTGCTGTTGGCTTCTTCACACCACATAAGAGCGCAGGCATGACTAAGGATTAGCAATGCATCTGACATAACTTCCTGTTTGGAGTCGAGACAATGAACGTATACTTGCCTCAGAGGAGGAGACTAAGGTGCAGCCGCATCCTCTTCTTTATCTCAGGTGTGCTGCTGTGTTTCGTCTACACCTTGACTTTGAAGGCCAGGCTGTCACAGCCACTAGCCTCCGCCCAGACGGATGATGGAGCGGAGGTGGGTAGCGATGAACATGTGGAGGTCAGCATCCAGGAGTTGATAGCGTCTAATGAGACTGAGGAAACTAAAGCTACCCTGGTGAAAGTCGTCAACAGGACGGATATCGAACAGTGTATCTATGTAGATCCCCAGCCTCCCAAACCGCCACCAACTCCACCGCCACTGACCACCGCAACTCCACACTACCCCCCAACCCAGCCACCTCACAGGAAGGGTGACTACCCAGAGGACTTGTTCTCGATAGAGCAGCGTCAACAGGGCTGGGTGGCCCTGCACATTGTAGGGATGGTTTACATGTTTGTCGCCCTGGCCATCGTCTGCGATGAGTTCTTCGTCCCTGCGCTGGAAGTCATCACCAACAAGCTGGAGATCTCAGATGATGTGGCTGGGGCCACATTCATGGCAGCGGGAGGCTCTGCCCCTGAGCTCTTCACCTCCCTGATTGGGGTCTTCATCTCCCACAGCAACGTGGGTATCGGCACCATTGTGGGCTCAGCCGTCTTCAACATTCTCTTTGTGATCGGCATGTGTGCCATCTTCTCTCGGGAGATGCTGCACCTGACCTGGTGGCCTCTGTTCAGGGACGTGAATTTCTACATCCTGGACCTCATCATGCTTATCATCTTCTTCCTGGATAACATGATCCTGTGGTGGGAGAGCATCCTGCTGGTGCTGGGCTACATCAGCTATGTGAGCTTCATGAAATTCAACAGTCAGATCGAGCAGGCGGTCAAGACCCAGCTTAACAAACACATGAGCATCGTTAAGGTGTGGACCACAGAGGAGCCAGAGAAGGTCAGTAAAGGTCCCTTTTTTAAAACAGGTGTTCAATGGCTACAGTTTGCCCTTTTTTCTGTCTTTCTTTTAATTTCTTGGTCTGATTGATGAATTGTGTCTTGCCTAGAGGTGAAATCATTAATTCCTGAGCTAAAATAATTAATTAGTTGAATAGTTAATTAACAGATGATAATTACACAGTACATTGGTTGGAAATCATTTTTAATACAGAAAAGGCAGTGTGCGTGTGTGTGCTGCTTGGACTAGCTTACCTGCCATCAGGCTTCCAGGCTTTCTTGGTCACTTTGGTTTTTTGCTCTTTAAATTTAGACAAATGAACACTTGCTGTGACACTTTTATTGCACTTTCGGTCAAATTATATTCAACATGAGCAACTTGAGCATCTTCTTTTGTTCATGGCTTCACGCTCACTGTAAGGAGAGATGGGGGTTGAAAGCATGAAAGAAAGTAACATCCATAAATAACTGCACATTTCTACAAAGACTCACAATTCACTGAAATGAAACATGAAATTAGGTAAAATAAATAGAAGAAAGAAAAAAAAGATTAAAGGTTTGCCTTCAGACAGGCTTATGGAGTCAGTCACTGTGCAGAGGTACATTGCTACACTGGGTTTGGCTCTTTCATGAGATTTGTTGACATTAGGAGAGAGAATGAAGCGTTAACAGGTGTTAGAGTTATTTTTGCTTCAGCAATAAGAGAACAAAATAATTTCTTTTATTCATCACGCATTTATCAAACATAAAAGGATGGATGCAGCCAAAACAGATGTTTCTCTAAGCAGTTGTTACCAGAGATACTATCTATCCATTTATTTTCAGTATACACAGTATATTTTCTATCCTTTCATCTCCGCACAGTTGGGACTGCCGCCTGCTCGGACACACTGAAAGAGAGACAGTGATTTGTGGTTCTGAGCAGGTGAAAGACTGTATTTGTGTAAAATCCTTTGATGGTACTGAACAGAGAGGACTCCAGGTGTCATAGATGGGGCGTCACAGGGTGGAGTGATGCAAGTGTCAGTCTTTCTGTCAAAGCCCTGAAATACCACTATATAGAGACATCATTTCATTTACAATTTAAAAACAAAGGAATAAAAGGTTCATTTCCTGCAGGCTGAACAGCTCTCTGCTCCGCTGCTGCTGGGAGAGATCAGCAAATGTCTGAGGCCGTAATCAACATGCAGAACTGCATTACAATATCTCAAGGGCCCGCAGAAGATTCGCCAATTAGCCTGAAGCATGTCTGCAATCAGCATGTGCTTCAGTATTAACACCAAGTGCAGTGAGATGCGTTGCCACATTGCTGGGTCAGAATTGCTGAAATTCAAAACCTCTTCACAGATTTCAGTACATGGTGTTCACATTTATATACATGCTCAACCATCATTTCTTTTTGTTCTTTTCATCAATAGAACACATTAATATCACCTGTTGCATACACAAACACATATATACATAGATTTGGGAGCTCAGTTTAGGAGCATTCATCGTGGAAGCTGTGTATCAGTAGGAATAATGCAGTTGTTGAAACTGGAGATTTAAAAAGGATCAGCCTCAAGGCTTAAGGGTTGTGACTTACTCTTCTGCTGATGGTGAAAAACTCATGCTGGCTGGACTTTTAACTAGATTAGGGGCTTACTACTGTCTTTTGTAAAGGTTTAACCTGGAATTCTTGACCTGTCTCAAGACTACAGCTGGAACCATGTCAATTCATCACTTTGCATGTCTACTCCTATGACTGAGTTTAGACTGAGTTTCTACAGTACATTACAATACAATACAATGTTATTTATATAGCACATTTAAAAACCAGAGGTATGTCAAAGTGCTTCACAGAACCAATTAAGAGCAATAACACATGCAAATACAGACCAATCAAATTGCCAAAGCAATCTCCGCTGTTCATATGCTTGAATGTATACGTGTGAGGTAACTCGAACTACTGGTAACCTGAACTGCTGTTAAACTGCCTCACTATAGGAAAGTGAAGCACCACCACCTCCACCACCTGCTGCTGCTGCTCCAGCTGCTCCAGTTGCTGCGCCAAAAGTTGAAGAAAAATCCAAACCAGAACCTGTACAACCTCCAAGCAGCCCTCAAAGCAGCAAACTGCTGCCAGACTCACAAGATGACAAGACAAGACTCAAGGTTTGAAAAACAAACCTTTTGTTGGTTTAGACCATATGAAGGATTAACAAAGCCCCAGCTCTGAAAAATTAAATACAGTGAAATACTTAAATCTAGTCTTTCTATTGGCCAGTAGAGGGTGAACTCCCCAGTTGCAAAAAAGGATGTCCAGTTATATAGATGTCTGGCAAAACAACTCTAATGATCACTTTTTAAAGGACATCAGTAAGCACTTAAATGTTGAGTTTATGGTGTCAGTCATTATTTTCAGTTCTTACTGAATATAAAATGATGTTCAATTTGTAAATTATGGTTTAAATTACAGTCCAAAAAGATGACAAAACAGACTAGCTTGTTAGTGACCCCATGCTGTGAAAAAAAAGTCAATACCACATAAGCATGCAGTGTTCCTTGGCCACTCCATCACTTCAATCTGGCCTGGAAACACTAATATGGTAATGGGACAACTGGGTGATGCCACAATGGCCCTTAAAGCTTTTATATAAAGCTTATGTTATTTGTTGGCTAAATCTCCAGTTAAACTGCAGTGTGACTTCCTTAATTTCAAAGCAAAAATTAATATTTACTTTCAGATGAATTAATGGAGGGATGCATCAGCTCATAATGGAATAAGATCGTAAAGGATCAGCAGATATTTTATCTACACAAGGAGTGTAAGGCTCTTCCTGTTGTAGCTGTTGTAGTAGCATTTAAGTGTTAGATTTACTTTTAAAATCTGTAGGTTTGGTTTATTTTATATGTATATGTATTGTTAGCATACACACAAACTCTGATATAATAGCATAAGTTCTTTAATAATTAATAACCTAGTGAACTTGTTACTTGAATTTACACAAATTAAAATTATCAGACTTACTTGGCCTGGCTTGCTACTATGGTAAGCTAGTTAGCTGGACATGCTAATGTTAGCATCTTGCGTTAAAGCAGAGAAACATGTTGGTTAATCTGTTCCTCACACTTTCATTGACTGTTTTTGGCCCTTCAACGTTTGAAACAAAAGTCAGAAGTCATCTGATGAGACAGTTTGTTATTTGATTTTTGGGGTAGATATCGAGGTCCATCAGGCACTAGTCCTTCTCTCCCTTTTGTTTTTATTGTCCAATTCTTAAAGGTGTTTATCACAAGGCAAGATAGTGACATTGGCAAAACAGCCTGTACATATTGTTACCTTTATTATTGTTTTCAGCAATAAAACTCTAGAGTGAGATGACAGTGTTAGCCTGTAACATTTGACAATAATTGTTACCCATTTCATGCCAGCCATTTTGGCATGTCAGTGTAGGGTACGCTCAGGTGTCATTTACAGTCCTGTTGTATTTAATGTTTTAAACCCATTCCATTTATGTGTAGTGCCAGGACCCTGGTTCCTCTAACTGGATCATAGCCATAGTTGACGTTATTAATTATACCTGTTTTTCTCCTTGCAATACCTTGTCAAAATGGCTGCTCTAACAAAAGCAAAACACCTTTTTGATTCTCACTGGTCTGCACTGGTTAGTATTATTAAAGGTTCCCTAAGGTTAAATGCTTTAGTTCTGACTAGGTGCCTGTTGTCCTGTAGGTGCGTCCAGCCCTGCAGCGAGGAGGCAGCTCAGCCTCCCTACACAACACCTCGCTTCGGAGCACCATCTTCCAGCTGATGATTCACACATTGGACCCTCTGGGAGAAGGTAACCAATGTTTTCTCGGGTGATAATATCACGTCTGCAGCAAAATTAGAAATTAAAAATGCACAGTGCTCATTAAAAACTGGTTCAACATACATATTTGGGTCAACAACCAAATATGTATGTGTAAATGTCAAAGTTCTAACCTCATTATTTAGCTACAATTTGATCCTTAATTTTAAAGGACTTTCTGTGATGAAGTATTTTACCATTTTAACATAAGTAAACAAGATGCAAGATGTTGGAGACGGTTGATCTGATATCCTCGTGTTGGTGTTGTTCCCAGATCATCATACTAAATGTTGTTCCAGGATCAACATTGCAAGTGACCAATCAGAATGTTGTGACATCATACCTTTGCGACTTCGGGAAAAACCGGCGTAAAACAAAAAACTGTACTTAAGCTGCGTGAAACCGCCTCTGTCCGCCGATCAACGGACCCTGACCCTAACCCTAACCGTAACCCTTTAATAAACAGTAAGCAGAATTGATATTGTCCTTGCAACATTGGAATTTCATAAATGCACGAATGGCTTGGCGCGCAAAGGAATAACGTCACAACAATGTGATTGGTCACTTGCAATGTTGAACCTGGAACAACATTTTCATGATGGTCTGGGAACAACACCAACACGAGGATATCAGATCATCCGTTGGAGACAGCAGGACCTCACTAATGATTACTTTCATTATCAGTTCCCTAATAAATTTGTCTGTAATTAGATTTAATATTTTTTCTTACTTCTGTACCTGATGCTGCACCTTCCATTCAGGAGAAGTTAAATTAATTAACAAATAGTTAAATCTGCTTACAGCTTCTTTACAGTTTTCTTGACATTTATTAAAGGCCTATAAGCTTCTTATAAATGCTTAGAAGGCTTAAATAAATCATTATCATGCATAAGAAAAAAAAGCTGTAATTAATGAAGGAAATGAAGGAAAGTGGTGCTTAATGACCAAAGCAAAGTCTTCTCACACTCGCTCATGGACTGTAATTAAAAATAATAAATAAAAAACCAAGTGAAATCCTGTTGATCGATTAAATGTTCCAGCTTGTTGCAAAGTTGCCAGTGACTCAGCTGTATCCCTCCTGTCCCTTTCTCTGAGTCAGTGTCGCGTGATGAACCGCAACGACCTTCAGTCTGTCCTCGAACTCACCGGTGTGCTGTTCCCTAACTCAAAGCACTGAGCCACTGTTGATCCTTAATCAGCTTTTCAATACAGGGTAATAAAAGCTGGATAAGAGCCAGCATGCTAGCAAGCCGAGCGTTTTATCTCTGTGGAAGCAGAGACCGGCTCCTTGCAGCTGGACTGCAGTACGCAACCCTAACCCTAAACATGAGTGATTTCCAGATAAATAGACCCGTGATTTTTTGCATACAGTTCATTTGTGGAGCAACTGGTTTCAGTGCAGCAAGTGTGCTGCAGTGTATTTCTGTATTTGTGCTGACAGCAGAAGAGAAGGCTTTGGTCCGACATAAAGGAATCTGACTTATCCGTTATTTCAGCTGATCTATTAGGTTTCATTCACTACATCAGAACAATGTGAAGTTACATCTTTCTAATTCAGAAACTTCTGCTGTATTAGGGAGTGGTATTTAATTGATTTTTTTCATTCTTTTGTTAAATTTAAACAATATTAAGGACAGCGTTCCTGGAGGATTAAAAAGTTAAATTATAATAATTCCACAATAGTAATGCCACACAAAAAGTTACACATCAAAGAAGACGTTTTTGGACTGTCAGGTTGTAGCTAGACTTTCTTACTTTCCAGGATTTGACTTGAGTTTGTGGCTTCTAATGTTCCTCACAAGGCTGTCTGTTACAGTGTGGACAATGACTGCAGGGCATCTGATTTAAAGTATTCTTGCTAACAATGTCACCAAATTTGCAATGACAGAATTGGACAATGTAAGAAAACTTGACAAGCCATGGCAGTTGCATGGATCAAACTTCAGACCCTTAATCAACCTTTATGTATACCGATTACAATTATATTAGCAGAAGAGGAAAACCCATGAATGATGTCTTCCATTTTCTTAGCATAGTACAAGCAATGTTCCCTCTAATTTTTCATGTGTCTGAGCGAACGCACAAACTCCCTGAGCGGTCCCTTGGACCACTGTGAGCAACAGCAGACGTGTGCACTGTGGTCACGCCAGCATGGAATCGATCCAAGTCACATGGTTTATTAAAATAATCAAATTACAGCATTTACATTTATGTTAGACTACTTTTAATTAACTGCTTTAGCCCACTTACAATGAAAATGTAAAAAAATCTTGTTCATGACCTGTGTAGTATGTTAACACTATTGGAAGTAAAAAATAACTTGAACTCCAATTCTGAAAAAACAACTTTCTTCTTTCTTTTTTTTTTTGTAAAGCTCTGACTTGTATTATTAGTATGAGTCTGTGGTCTGGGAGAGAGTCCTGTAACTCTGTCTGCAAAATACAGTATATAATGTTGGGCAATTAATTACATAGTTACTTCTTCAAAAAAAGTAACTGAGTTATGCAAACAACAAGTTTTTTGCAGCCGTTTACCTAAAAATGCAGCCAAAGCGTTTTTTAAAATAAACATTTCAAACTATTTACAGAACAATCAGCTGTTCTGCATCAAATTTGATGCAGTAAATATAAACCACGATAGTATTCAGGAAGAAAACCAAACATTGCACATATTTTTTTATCATAATTCTGGTTTAATGTGGCCTATCAACACAATTTAAAAACTGGTATAAAGTCCACACTTTTTCCGTCAATTGTCCCGTCTGTCCTGCTCACATCTCCAATGGTTGTACACGTTGTCATTAACGTGGCTTCACTCCACATCAGCCATGCCACTTTGCTAGCTAAAACACCGTGCCAGCAGTGCACAATTGCGCACGCGCGCAGCTTAGAGGGAACATTGAGTATAAGTACAGTATAATACTCTATATAATAATGTATATGTGTGTAAAACTGAAATAAAGTAGTGTATTGATTGATTATTAAGAATTTAATAAAATCAATGTATCTTTAGAATAGTTCAAACCAATAAAAAATGATACTTACTTTATGAATTACAAAAATAAATTGTAAAACACACACATTACATTTCCAAGTTTGCAGTCTTGCAAATTTTAGCCAATCTTTATGCGGTGTACTCAGCTGTAAAAGGAAAATGAATGTGACTCTAATTCTGACTTCCAAAATGCTCACAAGTTGCCAGTTATTTTGAGACCAGTTCAAACTGTTTTTTGATAAGCAGTTATGTGTGACAGCGTTTAACCTGAGCCTGTTACTACCATGCAGAGATATTATTTTTGTTACTATGAAACATTTACTGCACCATGAACCTGAAAACTGTCAGTCAAATTGAAATCAGAATCAGAATCAGAAAGGGTTTTATTGCCAAATGTTGAGCAGGTTTACAACATTAGGAAATTGCTGCGGTGCTTCAGTGCAAACATACTGTCATAAATTGCGCTTAAATAGACATGAAAAAATAAAAGTAAGAATAAGAATTAAAAGTGCTACGTAGAAAGATATATACATGAGTGCAGGTGGTGATCAGTGCCAAAACATGGAATGATGCAGTGAACACAGCGTAGGGTCATGTGTTAGTGGTGGGAACAGTCGTACGTTTATTGTTCATGTGTCCAACAGCAGAGGGGAAGAAACTGTTCTTATGGCGAGAGGTTCTGGTGCGAATGGACCGGAGCCTCCTGCCTGAGGGGAGCAGGTCAAACAGACTGTATCCAGGGTGAGAAGGGTCAGCTGAGATCCGAGCTGCACGCCGCAGTGTCCTGGAGGTGTACAGGTCCTGCAGAGATGGGAGTCTGCAGCCAATCACCTTCTCAGCAGAGCGCACAACACGCTGCAGTCTCTGTTTGTCCCTGATAGTGGCTCCAGCGTACCACACGGTGATGGAGGAGGTGAGGATGGACTCGATGATTGCGGTGTAGAATTGCATCATCGTCCGTGTTGGCAGGTTGAATTTCTTCAGCTGCCTCAGGAAGTACATCCTCTGCTGGGCTTTCTTGATGACGGAGGTGATGGTGGGCTCCCACTTCAGGTCCTGAGTGATGGTGGTACCCAGGAAGCGGAATGAGTCCACAGAGGTGATGGGGGTGTCAGTCAGGATGATGGGGGGGAGTGGGGCTGTGTGCTTCCTGAAGTCCACAATAATCTCCACTGTCTTCTGGGCATTCAGCACCAGGTTGTTGTGGCTGCACCAAGACACCAGACGTTCAACCTCCCTCCTGTAGGCAGACTCATCCCCGTCCGAGATGAGCCCAATAACGGTGGTGTCATCTGCAAACTTGATTAGCTTGACAGACTGGTGGGTGGAGGTGCAGCAGTTGGTGTACAGGGAGAAGAGCAGAGGAGAAAGAACACAGCCCTGAGGGGAGCCGGTGCTGATGGTCCGAGAGTCCGAGACATTCTTTCCCAGCCTCACATGCTGCTTCCTGTCCGTCAGGAAGTCAGTGATCCACCGGCAGATGGGATCAGGCACATTCATCTGGGAAAGCTTGCCTCGGAGATGGTCTGGAAGGATGGTGTTGAAGGCAGAGCTGAAGTCCACAAACAGGATCCTGGCGTAGGTTCCTGGGGAGTCCAGATGCTGCAGGATGAAGTTTAGGGCCATGTTGATGGCATCATCTACAGACCTGTTGGCTCTGTATGCAAACTGCAGGGGGTCCAGGAGGGGGGCCATGAGGGTCTTGAGATGGGAGAGAACTAGGCGCTCAAATGACTTCATGACCACAGATGTCAGAGCCACGGGTCTGTAGTCATTTAGTCCAGTGATCCTAGGTTTCTTGGGGACAGGGATTATGGTAGAGGACTTGAAGCAGGCAGGCACATGACATGCCTGCAGTGAGGAGTTGAAAATGCCAGAAAACACTGGGGCCAGCTCGTTTGCACAGTGTCTGAGGGTGGCAGGAGACACACCGTCTGGGCCGGGAGCTTTTCGAGCATTCAGACTCTTAAACTGCTTCCTCACATCTGCTTCATGAATATGAAGAGTTGTGGTGGGAGGAGGTGGTGTGAAATCCTATTATGTGTGGGGTGAGGAGGGGGGTGTTGTAGGTGAACAGTTTGAAGGTGGTGATGGCTCTATGGAGGGGGGAGAGGTGGGGGAATTAGTGTCCAAATTGCCTCTATTGTTGGGGCCGTTGGAGGTGTGAAGGCTGCCTGATGGCTCGTCAAAACGGCAGTAAAAGTCGTTAAGGGTGTTGGCCAAGAGCAAGTCATCAGTGGAGTGGGGGGTTTTAGGCTTGTAGTTTGTGATATTCCTAAAACCTTTCCACACAGAGGCCGAGTCATTCTCTGAGATCTGCTGCTGCATCTTCTCAGAGTGCTGATGTTTAGCAATGTCCACTTCTTTAGTGAACCTGTACTTGGCCTCTCTGCAGCAGTCCCTGTCTCCGCTTCTGAACGCCTTTCTCTGGCCCTGAAGTTACAACCATGTCTGTGGTTTCCATCGTAGAAGCAGTTCTTAGAGGGGCCGTTAAAACCCCTGGCCTCAGAAAAGTCAGAAGAGGTAAGAGTTACAAAAAGTTGTTGCCTGGTTTGAAGCGTTTGTTGTCTTTAATTTTTTTGTGTATTTGTTTGTGGATCAAACTTCAGATTTCCTGCTTAGTTGTGTTGCTTATCTATGTTTTGAAGTCAAACTTTCTGGAACTCATCACAGTCACTCAACATGGGCATGTTAAACTTTTGGTCCTCATCTGTTAGCCTGGCTAATACAAACCTGACATACGAGACAATTCACCGCTGAACAGAATAATGTTTAGAACAACAGTGGGGCTCAAGGCCAGGAATGGATTAGCCACTGAGTTGGAGATGACTCCAGATGACTCCGACATATCATGTCAGCAGGTCCATCTAACCCAATCTAAGTTAGGCAGATACCACAGGAAACCACAGAGGTCATATCCAGGCTTCAGCAGGTCTCAGCTGTTTTAACCAATACCTATTCACACAGACAGTATGTGCATACCAAGAATATGTGGGTGTTTTTGTGTCGCGGTTTGGAGAATGAGCTAATTTTTCACCTTTGATGTCAAAAAGAAAAAAGTAATTAAGGAGTCAGACTGATAATGTGTGTTGTGAATGTCTGCCAATCAGAAACATCTTTTAATGGTGATGTTAGAGGGGAGGGGCCAGTACAGAGGAAAGGTAAGGTGAAAAACATCATTGCTGTTGTGTTGTTTCTGCACTAGTTGTTCTTGTGGTTGTTGTTGTTGCTGTTGTGTTCAGTCTGGTCTGCTATTACAGAACACATTTTTGACCGCTATGCATGCATTGGATGGTTGCATGTTTGTGTGTCCGTCAGAAAGCTGTGAGAATCGTTGACCTTTTGGCACACTCTGGCTGTTTGTAAAGAACATGACTAATTTATCTGTAGACTAGTGTCATTGGCTGATATTATGTATTAGACAATTTGCATATTATTGATCAAGAAACTGACCTCACAGCCCATTGTTGCTGGGTTCAGTCATTATGCAAATGTACTGTTTATAAGGTAGGGGAAACCCGCAGTCAGCTGAAACTGAAGAAATCACTTGGATGAATGAGGAAACATTTCTCCCACTGAGAAAATGAACACAAACAACTTTTTGGGGTCCAATTAATAAAAATCACATTTATTGGACGCTGCAGTGTGTATCAATAAATACATGGTTTGACAATCTTAGAATAGTTTCCAGGTTTTTCCAAGGGTAGCTGCATAGGCAAAGACTACCCTGACTAACTTCTGAAGCACACCCAGTCATGTTGGGGGGGCCTGAAATTTGACAGAAATTGCACAGTACAGAAGCTCCTGTGACTACGATGACCTGGATGACTGAGAACCTTCACAGACAGAAACAGGAGTTTCAAGGGTTACTTCTGGTAGGACTTATGAGCGCTGATGTTCCACCAGAGGGCACTCTTCAACTTCCATAACAGTATAAACCCAACAACCACATAAACCAAGCCAAGGCATGTGGAATGTAAACAATAAATTACAAACAAACAAAAAAATGTCCTTAAAGACTGGGAACATTGGAATGGTAAATAATCAGATATCTGTATTGGCCTGAAAAATCTTATCTTAGTCAGGCTCTAGAGTAGATAAAAGCTTGGTGGTGATAAACAGCTTCAAATGAGTCGTAAGTAAGGTTCACATTTTAGCATAGGTACCAGTAATTGTACCTGTTCTCACGTTTGCACTGGATTGGATTGGATCTTTACTCCTAAATGCTGGTCAGTGTGTGTTTATCAGGTCATGTTATTGTTAAAGCTGGTTGTAGAAGAACAGGCTTCACATGAGATTTGTTTGAGCAATGATTCTTTTAACTGCAGCGAAGAACAAAGTAAAGCCTATGAATGTCCCGATGACGGGCAAACTGCAGAGCAAGTCCCATCACCGCTGCAGCGAAGGTGAGTCGTTTGTGCGATGAAACGCCTTTCCTGAAAGCATACTTCCTGTGGGTGTGTTCCAGTGCCATCAGTATTTTGTTTGACTAAATGCATAGTTTTGTTACATGATTTCGAAACATAACCCAGATTTCCAACAACATCTGATTTATATGTTGAAGCGCTTGTATTTCTCTGGCCATTTTTACCTACAATCCTCTGTCATAACATTGCGTAATTTTGTATTGTAATGCAACAGTACAGAACACATATCAGTTATTTTTTGGCATCTGTCTGAGAGGTACGCTTGTGATGTGTGTTAGCCCAGTTTTGCATAAAGACTGAGATAAAAAAAAAAAAATCATATTTTAAATCACATGGGATAAAATTTAGTCTCAGTATGATGGTAAAAATCAAATATCAAAATATCTCCCTCTATAATCCATATTGTGTTTTTTGGTTTTGTTTTTATGTATTTTGTACTCCATTGTATTGAAAATGACTTTAAATATGTTTTGGCATTAGGCTCAGTTTACTTTTCCCATTTTTTGTGCTATTAGCTCAAACGGGTGAAAGAATGGATCTTTCTAAAGAGCTTACAGAATATGAGCCTGGTGTTTTAATAGGGTACCTCCACAGCAAAAACTCTCTTTGTGAAATTTCTTCCCTCCTAGATATTCCACGATCAGCTGTAAGCAATACCATCTGCTTGTCAAGTGATAAAGTATAGACCCTGCTTCCAGGTCTTTAGATGGAAACCAGCACTCTAACTTACTGCTTCTGAGTCAATTAAACCTCATAAATCATCTTTTTCAGGGATGCCGTGATGTTAAACTTTATTGTAACAGCTGGGATAGCAGTGATGCTGATCATTTTTATTGAAGATAAAATCTCATTGTTGTCACAGTGCTTGTTTAGGAACCGAAGAAGAGTTTGAACCTGGAAATAGATGATGTAAAGTTACAGAGCGGGGTCATCAAGTGCATGTGTAAAAGTCACAAACACTCTGCTCATTCACTAACTTCAGAATTCCAAACCTCCTCTGGTATTAACATCAGCACAAACACTGTGCTCTGGGAGCTTCATGGCTTTGGTTACTTGAGCTGAGCAGCTCCTGTAGGAGGAGCTGTGCATGAGACAAAGAAATTGGATTAAATTTATTCTCATCTTCTAATTTAAAAAGTTAATATCAGGCTGCATAAAAGGATCCAAAGGATGTTTAATTTGTAATTAATTGTGTGAATATTCAGATGAAGAAAGTTATTATTTTAATAGTTGTACTGTTGATTAATATTGTAGTGACTTGTGCTTTGACATTTATTGTGATATTGCGAGTGCACATATGCACATGGTCTTCTATCAGTAATCAGAGACAGTTTTGGGGTTGAAGGAGGTTGTTCTTCAGACTCAGTTCATATGTTTGTGCGTCATAGTGTGGAGTAAGGAGTTGCTTGACAGTCTGAGGTGCACAGCAAAGTGGGGCTGTGAGGAACCTGGAGAGGCCTCGACAAGACCGAATCAATGAGCCCTGAGGATTAACATGCATATGAGTGTGCATGTGACTCTCTTCCCCGCCTTTAGTAGAGCATGTTTATTGCCAGACACTCCAATCACTCCCACTGCCACTTCATACTGGCCTCTAGAGCAGAATAATTTGTCAGTGTAACATTAAATTTGTGATTTATCTTCGCTAAGTGTGAAATTAGCTGCAGTTCTCTAATATTTAGATACGTTTAAAAATAAGTGTGAGCGGAAGTTTTCCAAATTCTTTAATACAGCAAACTTGCTTGGAAATTCAAATTCACCTGAATTTTTAATCACCTAACTGCAAAGTACTTTAGCTGATATAAGGTGAGGAGTCATCAGTCTGAAGTGATGGATTTAAAATGGTGACCATAACACAAACCAGCAGGGTTATTACATCATCCAAAAGTGACTCTGTTCAGTTGTGTTCAGTTAGATATGGGGAAACACTGCTGGATACAAAGAACAAACTAAAAGACATCTTTGCCCTTTCAAAATAAAATCAAAGGAAAAGTCAGAGTGGCAGGTAGACAAAGAAGACAGTGAAAAGGTCAAAGTAAAAGCATAAAGTCACTAAACATTTAAGTGAGGTTGATGTGTCCTGTTTGTAAAAAGATGCAGTGAAACTGTTTTATCTAAAATGGCTATGGGATATTTAAAATCTGCAGTGTTTGAAAAGCAGGTTAAAATTCATATTTTTATCTATATTACTCCGTGTGGTTTTCCTCTTTTTTAAGATCCAGATCAAAAGCCAAAGTCTGAGCAGCCAGCTGCTGCCGGTGCATCAGAGGGAGCAGCTACTGCTGAGCCGTCCACCTCACAGCCTCCAAAGGCAGAAGAGACAACTCAGGAAACATCTGACCGACCGGACGAATCGAAGGTACGAGAAGATTTCAGCTCACTGTGCAGTTTGCCACAGAAGTGAGGAAAGTGGAGATTTTAACAACTTTGATCCTATAGTTTTAAAAGTCGTGATAATACACGTCTCATCTTAATATGAACGCACGTGTTTCTTTAGCTGTTGTCATGTTGCCAAAAGAAACTAGTTAAGTTGTCAAGGAAACTGATGAAAACCTAGCAGCATCTGTATCCTCCATGCGAATTGCGAAGCACTGGAATGCAGTCAGATGTTAATTGCAATGTGAAGCCTGGGAAATAACAGGCGTGATGAGCATGTGAAGATGGCATTACTGTCTCCCTAGATTTGAATAGATTAGCTTCAAATTCATATTTCTGCTTCTTTATCTTTTCAACAGACCTGGAGACAGAAAGCTATGACTTTAACTATGTTTCTTACTTGATTTTGAATCTTCAGATTTTAAATTGGCCTCTAATTATTCCTGGCATAATGTATTTTGAAAATGCACCCAAGGAATATACTTAAGCACATGGTGTATTAGTAAAATTGAAGGAAAGATGGTAAGAGCGTTGGCTTCAATCTGCACATTTTCAAACTAATTTAAGAGGTTTTGGCTTGCTTCATATTTGTTTCTAGTATGTGTTCTTCTTTCCTAACATATTACATTTTGGTTATGTGGTACAGTTCAAAATAAAGCTTGAAAATGACAAGAATGTATAATCTTTAACAAACACATCAATTGAGAAATGAAAGTAACCGTTAACACCCACACAAGTTGCTTTCTGTCAGTTTAGTGTCACCTCAGTTTTCTGGCATACTGACCTCAGATCACACTTTGCATGGAGGCCTGTATATATCAGCTGCCAGCACTTTTTGAAAACCACATCGCCAAAGCCAGAAGCTGTGAACAAGGCTGTGAGGAGGTTGGATAACATGCAGTGTTGAAGAATGATGGAGGGCCTAACACAAGCACACTAGCTTATACTTTTTGTTAATTTATTGTTCATGTATACATAAAAAAATTAAAAAGGAGTGGCAGTAATGTTGCAGAATATTAACAAAGTATTATAGTAAGATATTAACAAATAACAAAGTAAGATATACTTAATCTATCCTAAAAGTTGGGAAATTACTGTGTTATAAGCAAACTAACACTACAAACTAAAAGAACCTCGCTCAGTGAAGTAAATACAATATCACAAAGCAAAATAGCTCACAAAGGTAAAAAGAAAAGGCGCAAAATAAAAATAGAGCTAATTTAAATAGAAGAAAAAAGTGAAGAGCTAAGATAATAAGGGGGGCTTAATAAGTAAAGCTCTGACAATATAGGGATATGTTCCTTCTCTGTAACATGTCCAGGATTATGCTGCTGTAACTGGTGCAGTCCCTTCACATTTCTTGTTACCACTCAGAGTAACGTCTCTGTCGCCCAAAAGTACTGAAACCATGTACGGTCACAGTGGGGTCTGGAAAATGTGAGTGTGTCAATATCTTGCTGCAGCACTCCAGGATACACATCAACTGTGAGCTCACATTTGCCATGATGATCACTGGAAGAGCTCCAGAGCTGAAACCCTGTCTTATCCTCCAGGACTGTTGTGCTCAGGAGATAGATCTGTCAGTACCATCAGCTGGTGAAAGGTCTCCATTGCTCAATCTCATTAGAAAATAAACCAGTAGTAGACTGGTAGTAGAAGTAGACTCATCCAAGACTGGACGTTTCAAGACTTTCAAAACAAAAAGTCACAAGTTCATACACATAAATAACAGTGAAGTCCTCAAATAATAAAAAAAAACAGCTAATTTGTGAAATGTACCTAAAAAAATTCTCATGTAAAATCATCAATTCACCAAGACCTAAACCAGCCCTGAAATATTAAATACTAAATAATAAATCTAATGCATCTTTTATGTGGTTCCCGCTTCGTTGTGTGCAGTGAGTCAGGGGGTTTGACTCACTCTGTTCCTTCTCCTACAGGCAGCAGCAGCATCAGCAGGTGGATCAGGGGGCTCTGAGGGCAGCGCTGAGGATGAGAGTGGTGACGAAGAAAGCAGCGACTCGAGCGAGAGTGAAGATGATGGCGACAATGAAGACAAGGAGGAAGAAGAAAAGGAGGAAGAAGAGGAGGAGGAGAACCAACCATTGTCTTTAGGGTGGCCTGAAACCAGGCGCAAGCAGGCGACATATCTGTTCCTGCTGCCCATCGTGTTCCCGCTGTGGCTCACCCTGCCTGATGTCCGCAACCTGGTGAACAGCCCTCATCATCATTATCATTATGACCTATGACCTTAAAGCTTTACATACTAAAATGATGTATTTTATTATCTTTACCCATGGGATTGGAACAGAATTGGCTGAAAACTTGGCTTCTGTAAGCTGTACAAACTTGATAGTTTAAGACATATTCATGCAATATGTGATTTTGACCGTGGGCACTAACAATAATGGCCAAGGTGAAATGCTTAGCTAACCTACAGGTAATATAAAGTTTTTACTGATTTTCACATTTGGTGTTACTTTGATCTGATTTTCACCAAAATTAATTCATCTTGAGCTGTTTTTGGTATCTACCGACACACAAAACTTGAAAATATCTAGAAAACTGTGAATGCTAACAGACAGATAGAACCGACTGCAGTGAGTGAATTGCATGGATCAGATGCTATCATTTACAATGGATTACATTGGATTAATTTTTTATTTTTTGTAGTTTCAGGATCTAAGTCTCTGTTCCCAGGTGTCATAATGTTTTTGAACATGTAATGTGAATGGCTCTGGTGCTTTTCAGGAATCCAGGAGATACTTTGCCATCACCTTCATAGGCTCCATCATCTGGATTGGTGCTTTCTCCTACCTGATGGTGTGGTGGGCTCATCAGGTTGGTGGAGTCTTAACACATGTTATGTTGGTCTTTTATTCACACTGATAAGGACCCTGGCAGACTACTTTCCTACATGTCTCAGAGTAGTCGGCCCTGAGTGATGTCAATGATACTTTCAGGTGATGCTTCTGCAGTTAGTGCGGTTAGTTTAACATAAAGATAGTGAGAGCATAACATAGAGACAGTGAGACTGTCCTAGTTTTATAGAAAGTTTTGTCTTTTATTTGTCTCGTTTTACCTTGTGCAAGAAAAAAACATAATTTTGCCCAATTTCTCCTTAAAGGTCATCTCATTGTGCTTGCACCGCAGTTGAGGTCTGGGCTATGAAAGTTCTCGCTCTTCTGGACATTATAGTGGAATTTACAGCCTGATCCTCAGGCATGAATGCACAGTGCACAACCCCATGATTTTTAAAAATTGGTTTAAATTGGGAGATTATGGGCTTTTCCATAATGCTGTTTGTTCTCTGGGTTCTGGCCTCTTGAAATGGCAGCCTCAGAATAAAATTGGACAAAATGAGACTTCCAGTGAGTGTTTTTGTTTTTGTTTTTTTAAAGCAGCATTACTACAAGAGGTCCAGGGGTGCACAGAAAGACAGAGAGACTCCTCTCCCAGTGTACTTCAGACCCAGCCACACACTGAGACGAAAACTGGTTCATCCCAAAGACAAACTCCCAAACACAAACTTAACAACGTAGTGTATGCTGTACAGTATAGCGAGGAATGCTCAGACCTCTACATTGGAGAGACCAAACAATCACTTCCTACACGCATGGCACAACATAGAAGAGCCACTTCCACGGGACAAGACTCAGCGGTTCATCTCCATCTAAATGGCAAAGGTCACTCTTTCGTGGATGCCAATGTTCACATTTTGGACAGAGAAGACAGATGGTTTGAAAGAGGAGGGAAAGAAGCCATTTATGTCCACATGTCTTTAAGGAAACTTAAAGAAGTCCAGATGCTTTTCTTTCCAAGCTCCTTAGACTACGATGACCTGGATGACTGAGAACCTTCACAGACATCCTTGGAGAGAGACTATTTAGGTTTTTCTGTAATTTGAGTTTTATTTAGTCTTTGTTGGGGGAAAAATGAAGAAAAAAATGAATAATGTAGAGTAATGTTAACTAGTTAATTAGTCACCGATTTGGGCACACGGTTTAAAATTTTGGTCTTACTTTGTGGCACTTGGGCAGTTTTACCAACCAACTACAGCCAGGTTGGGGATACTCGTTCTGACACTTGTTTTTATCTTTTACTGTTTGCAGGTGGGTGAAACTGTGGGCATCTCAGAGGAGATCATGGGACTGACCATCTTAGCAGCTGGGACATCTATCCCTGACCTGATCACCAGTGTGATTGTGGCCCGGAAGGGTTTGGGTGACATGGCAGTGTCCAGCTCAGTGGGGAGTAACATCTTTGACATCACTGTAGGGTGAGTCACTCTTAATTCCATTCAGTTTTATTTACATAGCGCCAAACCACAAAAATCGCCTAAGGCGCTTTATATTGTAAGGTATTGACCCTACAATAATATGGAGAAAGCCCCCAGAATCCATTGTGTCTAGAATAAAGCATTAATTTATCCACCATTGTACCTGTACTTCAGTCAACAATTGCATCATTGTTGTAAACAAATAAGCCAATATTGTAATCACTATCAAAAAGTTACAAGAGGCTATGCTAAAATAGGCCAAAATATATTTTCTTACAAAAACAAAAAAGGAAGATGTAGCAGACGGGCTACGAAGGTGTGATGGTAAATAGCTTGATTTCTGCTTCTGTTCTGTTTGGTTTTAGTCTGCCGATCCCTTGGTTGATATACACCCTGCTCCACAACGGTGAGCCAGTTATGGTCAGCTCCAATGGCCTGTTCTGCGCCATTGTGCTGCTCTTCCTGATGCTCCTCTTTGTCATTATCTCCATCGCCGCCTGTCGGTGGAAGATGAGCCGAAAGTTGGGCCTCACCATGTTCGTACTGTACTTTGTGTTCCTCGTCCTGAGTGTTCTGCTGGAGGATCGTGTCCTCATCTGCCCTGTTTCCATCTGAGGGAAACAGCACCGTCACACAAGACTTGGTACATCCACACACGAATGATACTGTAATATAGGATCTGTTAGAGAAAAGAACTGAGCCTAATGTTAAAAGGCTGATCAGGCACACACTAGATGCTAAATTAAAGGAAAATTCTACGCTTAATGTGGTTTTACATATTTAATCTGACATTTAATGACATTTAATCAACATTTTCCAGCAGCTCCAGTCTCATAATAAAGTCTTACCCTCCACCTTTTTAACTGAGTGTCTAAGCTCTGTGAAATATATTCAACATATAGTGCAAAGAGATGTACACTCAATGAAATAAGGGCTAGGATGTTACTGTCTTTGGTATGAAATACAATGAGATATCCAACCGTGGCCTCTGTTGGCAGGAACAAAGACTGCCACTAGGCGCCTACTGCTTTAGTATGAGTAGTGGGATTAAACAGCAGGCAGGGATACATTGAAATGTTAGTAGAAGAGATTGGAAAATGTGAAGCTTAAATCATGGCTTTCAAGTTTGGAGGGTGTGTTTGGTATTGGACGTGTGGCTTGCAGGATTTGATCCATTTGTGCACATGTTCAGCCGGTAATCAGCAATCTGACTTTATTGCCCACAAAGAAGTGATTATTTCTAACATATTGTTTAATAGTTGCCAATAGGAGTCCACTGGGAGTGCACTGAAGCAAGCCCGACTACTGTGTGTCCATATTTCCAACATTTCCAACAGTTTTTTAATGAAAAACGGGAAAACGATCAGACTTAGCCGCTTAGTCTGCAGGCGCGTGATTAGAAAGCTAAGTGGTCACAACTATTTTTCTTTGTGGTTTAAAAGCAACTACCATTGCAACTATCATTTTCAAAGTTCATTACTAGCCATACTGTGCAACATGGATTTAATAAACTTAAGAGACACATTTGATTAGTGTAGATTGTACACTGGATGATGTTACCTGCCGAATCTTGGCCAAGATGAATGGCTGGTATTTCTCATGTGTGTGTTTCCATACTAGATCCTCATTTGTGCGGTCACAATATCAGCTGAGAGAAATTATCTTTAGTTTTTCTCAAGTACTGGTGTCAGCACATCATTTCATGTTGCACTCCTAACAATAGTAGGTGATAAAGGATATAACAGCAGCGGTGAGATGGCTGTCTTTGATTTCAAAACCATTACAACAGCCAACTTTGAACCTCTTTCACAGTGGGCTATAGAATCACCAGTTTGGAGCCATGACCAAATTAAGAATAGTTTTACCCCAAGAATCCTCTTCAAATGCAAAAAGTGCAACAGTTTTGTATAGTAGTGAAACACATTTACCTAACACATGAAAGATCACAGGTCAAGACCAGGAGAAGACACAAATCCTGAAGTCCAACACACAGATCCATCTGCTGTAGCGACCTGCTGTGAATGAGGGAGTAGCTGGAAGAAGCATAATTAAAAACTTCTTATCGCGGGAGCAATGACTGTAAAATATCAATACAGCTAATGCACACAAGACGAGAGATGTCAGAATAAATCAGGAAATAACTAACGCTAAGACCAGGACTAAGATATATAAGATTGAAATAAGATTTGCCGTGTTGTGGCGTTAACGTCATTTCAACGAGATTAACGCTGACAGCACTAGTGGAAACACAACGAATATGACTGCACATTTACTCCGACATCATCCTAGTGCAAAGACAAGTGGAAGCAGATAAAAACAACAAGCACGCATGCTTCAAACTTTACCCGAGTCATTTAGACAGCCGTTAGCACATGATTCTCCTTATGGGGACCTGATATGTTTAATATGCTGCTGAGAATATAGCCCAGAAGAAGCGTATAGTATAGCTTTTATTTCGGAAAGAGCCATTTCTCTGTAATAAACTCTCTTTTCCAAAGATGAGTGATTTCTCAATCAGATATATTTATTTTTTTTATTACTTTGTTGTTTCAGCAACATTAAATTTCAAAACTGTACGTTTGAGTTAAAATATATATTTATAATTTTAATAAATGATAAATTAAAAAGGCATGAACATTTTTTTTGTATCAAAAAAATATCGAACCGTGACACCAAAGTATTGAACCGAACTGTGAATTTTGTGTATCGTTGCACCCCTAATATATATATATACTGTACTATATATATATATATAGATATACACTCAACAAAAATATAAACGCAACACCTTTGTTTCTGCTCCCATTCCCCATGGGATGGACGTAGAGACCTAAAATTCATTCCAGATACACAATATAACCATCCCTCCCAAACAGTGGTCACAAATCAGTCCAAATGTGTGGTAGTGGGCACATCTGCCATATTGAGATAATCCATCCCACCTCACAGGTGTGCCACATCAGGATGCTGATCTGACATCATGAGTAGTGCACAGGTGTACCTCAGACTGCCCACAACAAAAGGCCACCCTGGAATGTGCAGTTTTGTCTCACAGCAAAATGCCACAGATGCCACAAGCAATGAGGGAGCGTGCAATTGGCATGCTGACAGCAGGAATGTCAACCAGATCTGTCGCCCGTGCATTGAATGTTCATTTCTCAACCATAAGCCGTCTCCACAGGCGTTTCAGAGAATATGGCAGCACATCCAACCGGCCTCACAACCACAGACCTCGTGTAACCACACCAGCCCAGGACCTCCACATCCAGCAGGTTCACCTCCAAGATCGTCTGAGACCAGCCACCCAGACAGCTGCTGGAACAATTGGTTTGCACAACCAAACAATTTCTGCACAAACTGTCAGAAACCGTCTCAGGGACGCTCAACTGCATGCCCGTCGTCCTCATCGGGGTCTTGACCTGACTCCAGCTCGTCGCCGTAACAGACTTGTGTGGGCAAATGCTCACATCCGATGGCGTCTGGCACGTTGGAGAGGTGTGCGCTTCACGGATGAATCATGGTTCACATTGTTCAGGGCAGATGGCAGCTGAGAATGTCCCAGTTCTTGCATGGCCAGCATACTCACCGGACATGTCACCCATTGAGCATGTTCGGGATGTGCTTGACCGGCGTATACGACAGCGTGTACCAGTTCCCACGAATATCCAACAACCTCGCACAGCCATTGAAGTGGAGTGGACCAACATTCCACAGGCCACAATTGACAATCTGATAGACTCCATGCGACGATGTGTTGCACTGCATGAGGCAAATGGTGGTCACACCAGATACTGACCGGTTCTGGGTCCCCAGGCCCCCAATAGCGCAAGAAACTGCACATTCCAGGGTGGCCTTTTGTTGTGGGCAGTCTGAGGTACACCTGTGCACTACTCATGATGTCAGATCAGCATCCTGATGTGGCACACCTGTGAGGTGGGATGGATTATCTCAATATGGCAGATGTGCCCACTACCACACATTTGGACTGATTTGTGACCACTGTTTGGGAGGGATGGTTATATTGTGTATCTGGAATGAATTTTAGGTCTCTACGTCCATCCCATGGGGAATGGGAGCAGTAACAAAGGTGTTGCGTTTATATTTTTGTTGAGTGTATATAGATATAGAGATATGTCTGCCAGTACAGAGGCCAGGAAACAGTCATTTCTTTACTGTGGCAACAACACTTACGAAATATACAGACTGTCTATATTTGTCCAACACAGCAAGTATAAAACTTAGCTGTAGCTGCTGGAAGTATCTGAAAATGACACCACGCTGCTTAACTCAACAAACATGAAGCAATCATAATATATCCCCATTCTGTTAACAGATTTTCTTTAGTTAGTTTTTTTTTTTGGTGTTGGTGGAATTTTCCTTTAATAAGCAAATGCTTATGGGTAGTCTCTGAGCTGACAGCATTAGGTCATTTAAAAACATTACACCCACTCTAGTAGTATTGGTATGGACTGACCTTGCAGGAAATCAGAGTCACTGGATGCAACTTCAGTTTTGTATGTTTAGTATTTCTGGAACTATCATCCCTAACACCCTGTTCTGTATTTAACTTGACAAGTATTTGTTCATGTTTAGTGTTAAAAAGAGTTTTTGTGTCACTTAACTGTGGTGGAGAGAGTCAGTGTGTGTGTATCAGGAAGACACGCATCAGACTGTCTTAGCTGTGAGAAAACCTGACCCGTGTGATGTTTTCAGATGTTCCTGTTGTGCTCTTGTTGGATTGAAGTGGATGCAAACATGGATTATTGATAATGAAAAGTATCAATATTTCAAATTAAAATTCCATGCTGCAATAAATTATTTTTTTAACAGTGAACTGGAACAGTGTGCGGTGTTTTGGGGAACTGGAAAAGAATATGCTGTTCTTTTAATCTAAAACAATATATATGGTTACACTGGTTCTACCAGAAAGTATTTCCTCTTCCTTTGTCTTCTTTAATAAAAAGTATTTAATTAAATGTACATTATACTGGCTAAGTATAAAAATTGATGGTATGTCTGTTTCCCAGAAGTGATGCTGGAATTTCCACTTGTAAGTGGTTGCATAGTAGATTATAACGCCCACTCCAAACACAAATATGCAGATTAAACTACAATTAAACTGTGTGATGTTTATGCTAATAGCTAGCAAGCTAAGAGTGCAACAAATCTATGTCACGTTGTTTGCAGGTATGTGTGCGCAAAACCTCAGTATAAGGGAAAGGCCTTGCTGATGGATTTATGGGTTCACTGCAGTTTTGATTCATACTGAATAAAACATCTTCAACTAATAAAGATGGCGCCTGTTAAGACTGCAGACAGGAGGAAAAACCAGGCTAACAGTTTAACAATGACATGTCATTAGTCGGTTTGTTAGCCAAATGTTAGCTTTTCTTGAAACAAAATGACATTTGCGTTAACTTTTCTTACAGGCAACACAATTTGGCCATTTAAAGCTAGCATTCTGCTTGAGAAGGCTGATGGCTGATTGACTTAAAAATATGACGTAGCACTCATTTCAACACGATAAGTCAATGTATTCTTTTTTGTCCAGTCTTAGGCTTCAGCAGCCCCATTCATTATGGGTTGTCTTGCAGGTCCCTCCTGAAAGCTGATGTCTAAAGTGTGACAGTTCTTAAGCATTTAGAAGTTCTTTGACTCTACAGTCACATAAGGGGAAACTGGTTAGAGACCACAGCACAACCAGAATTTTTTTTAGCAAACATGTGCAATGGGCGATGAACTACACAGACTGAGTCAGACTCAACGTGAGACCATGACTGTTTGCAGACAGGTTGCCTCTCGCCAGCGACCCGTGCCGTCGTCTTGTGATTGCGTTGAGAATTCAATCCAGTCATTGGGAATCTTCCTCCTACTCACAATTGACGGATTTAAACATTAAATACATTTAAACTAAATATTTTAAGAAGAAGACGCTACAGACAGCAACACTGAGGGTTTACATGATTTTATTTACACTTAAACAGTCCTGTAGATCTGGTCGCTGTACAGAACGTCAGAACTTCACCACTTCTAAAAGGACCTTTGCACATGTGTGAATACACGGTTATAAAATGTGATTTATACAAAGGGCAATTCAAATGTACATGGCCCAGAATCTGCAAAATCATTTATTTTTACAGTACTATTGTTTTTTAAACACAACAGAAATCCACAAATGAATCACAGCCTTTCTAAGCTGATGTGTCATCTCCCAAATCAAAATTCACCAGTTAAAGAGATTTCCACACCTAAAGGTTTGGGTTTTTTTTCAGGGACAAAGACGTGCAACTTGTTAAACTTTTCCAGTTTTGCTTAGCCATGCCACAAATCAAAGACTTGGCTGATATTCATAGGACCTTGGTGATTCCAGAGTCAGGGGTCCTCCTTCAACCACTCTGCCTTTCAAAGCTGGATTAATATCCTCACTAAGGCAGTAACAAATATAAGCGACAGAGGCAATGCACTCCAGGGTCCGTTTGATTTTCTCCAACATAACATCATACGGTCTCTAGAACTTAAATAACCCCATAAGGGTTTTAAAAAATTAAAATATGAACTTTATATTCAAATTAAAAGTGAAGTAGGCTCTTTGCAAAGTTGAACTCTGTTATCTTTACACCTGTCCAAAAGTTAAATCTTTAGTAAATTCAATGGTGGATACAGACCTCAGGGTGTAAACATCTCCAGGTATCAAGCTTTTCATAAATCCCACTTTTTATAATAAAGTCCTCTTTTACTGTTTGTTTATGCTAGCTGAAATAAGAATTCTTAATTTAGCTTTAGTCTGATACAACACTAATAAAACTGGCTGGATGTTGCCAGAGTGAAAAATTTAAACCTTTTCTCCACATATGTTCCCAAAAGATTCTGGCATCCTGGCTGCTCGGTGGCAGGTGACAACCTGCATCCATAGACAAGCAAAGAAGAGACAACACAAAACACAGGAGCCACCTTGAGGTCCAAGACATTAAAATGATTTGGATTATTGTATTAAACTGATATGGAAGCAGAAGGCAATGAGATTAAAGTCATTTGATTCAGCCACAGGCTTAACTGGCTGCATGTGCAATAAACACTCAGATATGCTGTTATTAAATGACAGGTGGGACTTTACAGTTTGTACCATAAACACAAAGCTCTTTTATTAACCTCCGCTAAGACTCATTGATATCTTTATAGTTGGATAATTGTTACCAACAAATCAAAACTTCACTTTGGTTTTCCCTCCAGATAAAGTGATTTAGGTCACATAGATC